GGGGGGGGCGCCCCCTCCCCCCCCCCCCCGGGATCTACACGGGGTGGGCAGACTGCAGCTGCGGGCCAGAGCCAGGGTTGCTCCGGGCTCTTCTTGATGGGTGCTGGGCTCAGGGTGGGCAATGGTGGCACTGGGTGGCAGGGCACTGGGGGCACTACAGCAAAATTTGGGGTGGCTGCAGCCGCATATTTAGGGCACCCCCCGTGCCCTCCTGAGGTGCATGCAGTGGCAGGAGCTGTCCTCCCATCCTCTCCGGGCAAGCCACAGCTCTGTCCTGTAGCTGTCCCGGCGTCTATACCAGTCCCTCCCTCACTGTGGGGGATGTTGATCTCCACTCCCACCATGCCCCTTCCCTCCCCTTCCACCACAACAGACTTACCAACTACACTCAGCTGTATCGGAAATTGGATCGGTATCGGCTAATACGCCTCCTTAAAAATAGGCTATTGGCATCGGCCCCCAAAATCTCTATTGGTGCACCCCTAGAAATAGTTTCTCATTAAGGACTTAATTTTACTATTAAAACGTTACAAAAAGTGAGTTGTTTGCCTGGAGGTGTATGGACTGTTCTGTGCACACTTAAAACATCATACAGCATATCTATGTTTTAATTATTTTACACAATTTGTATTGCACAGTATCAGTAATGCAACACCAATGCCCCTAAGTTATACCTAGGTTGTCAAATTGTTTTAAACTAGAACTTGGATTTTGATTTGTAACTAACTCTAGTCTGAAAATTAGTGTACAGTTTTCTAAACCAAAAGTAGCTTAATCATTACCCTTTCAGGATAAGATATAGGATGGATACACCATAATTGATATTCAAACAGCTTTGATTTTTAAAGTTGTGAACCATTTGCATTATCTAAATAGCTGGTCTTTGATTTTCAAAATGGCTCTTACATCATAGTAAAGATGGAAATGTCCTGGGTCCCTTATTGTGCATGCCTAGTTTTTTTTATACCTTCTACTCTTACTACTTATGTACAGTCATATGAAATGGTATGATGCTGTCCTAAAGTATATTTGTAAAACATTTCAAGCAGTACAAAACCAATCGCAAAGCGGTTAAATATTAAAAAGTGTATTAGGTTTCCACAGCTTGTAATTACAATTCATTTTCCTGTGTTCAGTTAAAATTGAAATTAGTTTGGTCTCACCTTTAGTGCTCACATTTTCCCAAGAAATATATAGTGCGGCAGTCTTTTCACAGGAAAAAAGTGTTTGCATAAGAGTATCATTGTCAGTTGTGAATGAAATGCATTGCTAAAGATTTGCTGAGTGTCTGCAATATAAGTGACTCCAGGTAGTGCCGTACCATCATCCATGACCATTAAACTTAATTTTAAGAACTTGTCTTTTTTTTTTAGTTAAACACCTGTTTCTGACTATTCACATAAGTAGTAATGCTCACATTAAATGCATGGTTCATCACAAACTCTTTTCTTTTTCAGTCAACAGAATTTATCAAACAGAACATAGTGGTATCGAGTGGATTTGTTGGAGGTTTTTTGTTAGGCCTTGCATCTTAAGGACCTGAATTTTGTCTTCCTGATGGCATCAACCACAGCAAAGAACAGTTGTAGTGATGCACTGTCTTGAAGCAAAGCAGTGTGGGTCATTAATCACTCCAGAGCCAGGAGAAATGGACTAACTAGACAAATTGGAAGCTTTTACATTTTAGGCTTTTGCCTCCTGAAGCTTGGCAAAGCTACGACTTGCTGAAAAACTGTGCAGCTGCTCATTATAGCATTTATGGGCAAAACTGATTAATTTTCATCATGACTTTTTTATTGCTGTCCATTCAGAAATTAGTATTTTTAAAATGTAATTCTTGGGATATAGATATATGTTACAGTATTGAAGGAAGGAACGCTCTATTTCTGTCTAAAAGTTTTTTCAGTTAAATGTTGCTTTATCTTTATTTAAAAGAGATATTGTCCTCCATGCTGTAGTGTATAGTGCCGATGACTAAATAATGTGTATGATATTGTAGTTTCAGCCTCAAGGCTGACTATGTTCCTTAGAAATCACTGCAATAATCTGTAAATCTGTAATATCTTTTTACAGAAGTATTGATAACAGATTCATGAGCATATTAAAGATGAAAATCAAACTTTGACTCTGGTATTTGTATACTTCATAAAATAAAAAATTATTTGCATCCTTTACCACATGAGCATTTGACATACACTAGTCTGTATGAAATACTTATCATGAAGAGCATATGCCACATCCCCAAGCGTGTGTCATACGTAACTTGTATATACAGCTGAAATGTATATAATTGTTACGAGGACTTTAACATGCATGCTTTTTGTAGTTGTGTATTCACTGGAGAGCAACCTGTTTAATAATCTACCTGTTGAAAATACCAAGTGCCTAGGCTTTTGGTTAATATTGCCAGTACTTGTTGAACATTATAATGGAGGACATTAAACTGACAGCAGGACAGCATGGTGCAGCTTGAGCACTCTAAAGGAGTGGTGCTTAACTTTTTAGAGTGGCTGGCAGGCTGGGTGCTCATCACCCAGCTGCACTGGGAGCCACCGGTTCCCTTTGGTAGGGGAGGAAGGGAGGGGAAAGGGAGGTGGCTGCTAGTGTCAGAGGGAGTTGAGGAAGAGAGCTTACCTCCAGTAAGCAGTGGCTGCCTATATGTCACACAAATCATGACAAAAATATTTTTTGAAATAAAATTAAAATATGTTATAGTAGGTGTTTGACTTTTAGTACACGATTTGTTTTTTTTCTGGTTCTAAGATGGATCCCAAAAGGGGTACTTCCAGGGGCAAGCAGAGAGTCTTCCAGTGGCAAAAAGGTCAAGGGGCTACAGTCAGGACTTATCGTCCCAAAATGGTGACCACGGCGTGGGGCACCTGTCAATGGGCGGCACTATCCTTGCAGCCCTCAACAGCTTGCCAAAATTCATTAAGCAGCCCTCCAGCCAAAATTATTGCCCACCCCTGGTTTATTCCAAAGAATAATGATGGTCATCTAGTTAAAGATTCAGAGCCGCTTGAAAACTTGGACTGCTAATGCTGCTTGTTAGCTAGGGGCAAAAATAATAACAGGTAATACTGAAGAGCGCTAGAAGGGATTTTGCAAAGCCAGCAACTAAGGGCAGGAAAACAAGTAACTTGTAGAATATAAGAAGCAGAAAGACCATGAAAGAATTGGTGTGCCTGCTGAATTGCTTAGGATTAACAAGTGAGTAAAGATGATAATGCTGGTACTAATTTACTAAATTTTTTGTATTATTTTTCAAGGTAGAAGATGTTAATTAAAATATCTACCCCAGAACTGCTCTTCTCAGGCAATAAAGATGAGGCTACCAGAATGTGAGGTGTCAAAAGAGGTGTTGGAGCAAACAGACAACTTAAGTCACGAGGCCCAAATGATATACATCAAAGAGTTCTGAAGGACTTAATGAACTGGCTGAGCTACTACCAAAACTCAAGCAATTTCTCATTTAAAAAAGGCTGTAGTACAAGATAATTTCAGGGAGCAAATATTAGATCTGTGTTTTGAAAAAGGCTGTAGGTGTGATTTGAGGTCTAGCTTGATCATTAAAAATAGAATTAAAAAAACACCTGCAACAATGCGATAGGACAGGATCTACTAGCATAGCTTCTGCAAAAGAAAATAGTGTCACTAAAATTATTTAAGGTCTCAATTAGGGCAGTAGATTTTAAAAAATGGCTGAAATAAATTGTTTAGGCTCTAGACAAACATACCTTTTCACCCTTTTAAAAGGAGAGAGTAGTGGCTGGTTGGGAATATGTCTCAGTTGTTATTACACGTGCAGACTCCTGTAGCAGTGCAAGTTAGCTAAGTCACTGAATCTTTAACCCTGAATGAAATCGTTAAAGGTGCAATTGCAATAGTTTTGCTACTCTAGCATCACTAAGAAGCATGCAGATGTAATAGTGACATCATAACAGCAAATATTTGTATCTATTAATATTGATACAGTTGTATCTCTCTATACCCTTAGACTTGCAAAAGGTCTGACAAAGGTCTCTTATCAGATGCAGTAGTATTGTACTTATTAGCATACCACACACAACATTTTCCTAATAATCAGCCATCCAAATTTCCCATTTTGCCTTTCCAAAACAAGGTGTGTTTCTTATTTAAGTGTGCATGGTATTTGAGAAAATGCAGTTGTTGGATAAGAGGCATGGCATCGTTCTGGATCAAGAACTCGTGTTTCATAATTATTAAACAAAGAATAAGAAAAAATTATCATTGCAGAAGTTAAAGGATATGTCTTCACAAGTTGCAGTAGACCCACCATTATTTAAAATATTTAATAATAATCTCATTGATTATTCAGTGAGCCAAATTTGTGTGAGAGCAAAGTTACTTAGTTTATAATGGGCCCGTCTACATGATATGCTAACTGCGCCGTAGCCTAATAATACTGCACAGGAGTGCATCACCGCACAAACCATACTAACACACTACTGCTTAGCATTATTAGGCTACTGCAAAGTAGGATCACTAAAAAGGCATTTGCCAGCACTACTGCTCAGTAACTCCGGTTACTGCACATTTATTTAGTATTTGGTTATACAAGTACTAAATTAAATATGCAGTAACCACTGTGCATTAATGAATGTGTAGACGCACCCACTGAGATAGCTTCTTAGTTCTCTGTGAAGTATCTGAATTGGAAGCACTATGGCAAATGAATACAGCATAAGGGATGTTGAAGGGAAACTATTCAACTACTCAAACACTACAACGGATTTTATGTTCACATCATCTCAGAAATGGGACCCAGGTATCAGTGTAGACAGCTTAATTAAGGCAGCTTCTCAATGTACACTTGTGGTATAAAAATCAAATAAGACGTTATGATGCCTACAGAAGAGGATGGAGAAACATTTTAAAATATGTTGTCATTATATAGAGCAGTGATTCTCAACTTTTTTAGACTCAAGGTAGTCCTTGGAAAATGCCAGGTCTTAACTTTAGCTCATTGTTAACTATGGAAAAATAATAAAGCAATTCTTATTTCTTCTGTTGCAAAGAACACAGAAAGATTGCAACGGGCCAGACCTTGGACCAGGCCAGAAATATTTTGACACTATGTATTCCTGTTTTAAATCCCTGGGTTTATCTTGTGAATCATGTGTAGGTCTTTGCAAACCTAAAAGTGCTGATTCATAGATTCATAGATGTTAGGGTCGGAAGGGACCTCAATAGATCATCGAGTCTAACCCCCTGCATAGGCAGGAAAGAGTGCTGGGTTTAGATGACCACAGCTAGATGCTTATCTAACCTCCTCTTGAAGACCCCCAGGGTAGGGGAGAGCATCACCTCCCTTGGGAGCCCGTTCCAGACCT